CCTGAGATCACACCACCTGCCTTTTCTTCTACATAGCACATATGCCACATCAATTTGTTTCTAAACTCAACTCTAGTTTTTTTTAGTTTTCAATTTTACTGCACAATGCAGTAGTGTTATTTCAAGACTACCCAAGAGAAAGTCTTGGCTCAGTCTAGGTCTGCGTATCACTCAGCAGCAGGACAAAGGGTAGATCTACAAAGATATCAGAAAACAAATGCTTTGTATCTGAAATTTTCTGAAGCTCCTGTTTGCCTTGGACAGGCAGAAACGTCCTTTGATTCCTCACAGAATCAAGTAACGACCATACACATCTCAGTTCTAACTTTCAGTTAAAGTGGTAGGTGAGCAGATTCAGCCTCTTACCAACCATTCACATCTCTCTTGGTGAACTGTGTTAATCAGAAAGCTACTTAGAACTCAGCAGCCACCTTCCCTTGAAGTTTTACCTTATACACTGCCCATCAGCTTTCTAAACCTCACAAAAGTCTCTCAGATAGCTAAATTCCAACTACCCATGATAAAATTGCCCCACAAATTGTCCCACAAATTGACTGACTGCCCATTTCTAGACATTTCTTTTTTTTTTTTCCCCCCAAGCTTTAAAAGCAGAGTATAACAGTTTGTAGGCCATAAGCCAGAGGAAACCAAAATATTAAAAGCTTTTGGTTGCAGTCTGTCCTTGAAAAATCCGATCCCTGTGTGATGCACAGAATGACAGGAACATAAAACAACTTGCTTATCAAATTATACTTTGTATTGAGATAATAATAGTAGCAGCTAATATTAATATCTGAAATGCAAATTTGGCAGTGACTTGAAACACCAACCAGGAGAATGGGAGAGCAATTTGAATGTGGTTCAAAGGAGCGCCTAGTCAGAAGGAATGAACAGCTCACTCTCCTTTTCCACTCCAACACCCCACTGCCAGAAAGGTTTCATTGTTATTCCATCAGAAAGAGAAACCAGGGAGTCACATGGGGATTAGAAGGCTAAGAGCTCAAGGCTTTTTTAACTTCGTAGTATGATTAAATCACTCCAATACACTTTGCAGGAGCTTCTCTGCTACATGAGCTGCATTACAAAGATATGCTCAGTATTCACCCCTACAAACAGAAGTTGGCATTTCCCATCCCATTACAAGAGTTAACACCGTAAACAGTGCAGTTCACTACGAAGAACCTCTCTGTGTGTTGCCGATGTTCTTATACTATTCCAGTATTTGACATGGATTTCATAAAAGCTACAAAGAAGGGCCCAACTCTAATGATGAGGGTTGACTACTGAGAGCATCTATCACCATCATATAACAATTTTAACAAATACAACCATTTTACAAAAAACTGGGGAGACACAGAAGATATTCCCTCAGCATTGGGCTTCCAGTAACTTGCATGCTCTTACATTGCTGATATATTCCAGAGGAGTCAGGCTGAAGTTCGGCAGGTCATCTGTCAGAGTCTCACCAATGCCACCAGAATTCCAACCCTGTACAGCAAAAAGTGCAGAATGAATCTATGACTTTCTGGAGCATGAAGTCTATCGGTATTCTAGGAAGGGGCCACCCAGCAACACGAACTGTGACTACCCAAGGACTTCTAGAAAGCAGAACACAGATGGTGAGAAAACTGCTTCCCTTTTCCTACCTCAGGCCCAAAACACGCACACCCTTCCCACACAGCTCCCTGTGGGAAATACATGCTCACACAGGTTAGAAGAGCAACATCTCAGACAAACATCAGAGCTTGCAAACACAGCTGTCTGTTGCAAATGCTGTGGATGAAGGGAGGTAAACTTTTCCACTGACTGTAGCTCATGGAAGAAATGTGATACCAGAGGGAAACATCCTGAAAAGGAGAAAGGTGAGTAACATTGAGCGGTACTCCACCCGAAGGTATCCCACGGGTAAACCGTGCCAGTTCAGATCAGATTGATGTACTCATTACTCACCTCCATCTTTGAAACGAGTAAGAGTTGTTGTTTGATGCGAAGAAAAACAGAATCAAAAGCCAAGTGGTGTGCCAGCTGGTTGAGGCGGCTTAGGGCAGATCGTGATGAAGACAACAGGTTGTGGTTACTTGTACCTTTTTCCTAACACACACAGACACACAGAAAAATGTTTACATACAGCAGTCATTAAACTGACCACAGAGAAACTATGTTAGCATTCTTAAATAAGCCTTTATTAGGCGATCCTAATACAAAAGAGCTTTCCTCTGCAATGGCACGGCTTGTTTCCTTTGGGATGCCCTGTTCCAACCAGTTATTCAAGACAGAAACTGTGCACTGCTCTCTGAAATGTAAAACAAAGAATTAGCATTACATTCCAGCCACGCCAGGCACCAGTACAGGCTAGATACTGAGAAACTTGCAGAGGAGATGGCAAAACTGTCTTTTACCCACAGGGCACAACTAACTGATCCTCTGCATGGAATTAAGCAAAAGTTTTACACGCAGGGTACCTATGGAATTTGACTATTTAGCAAAGACTTAAAGTCAAACATTTAACACTGAAGGTGGAGTTGCACACGCTGCAGGTAAATTAAGTGCAAAAGAAATCAAAATATTCTGAGGAAATAAGAGAAACTCATAACCGTGACTTCACTACTACACATGACCAACGACGGCAAACATAACGTAGATCCACAAGAAGATAACTAGTCATTCTACCCTGTTCACAGATGCATGCATGAATGATCTTGCAGAATTATATTTCAGAATGGAAACGGCAGCAGAGCGTAAGCAGCAAAGCAAGCCTTGAAAAGGCAGTATGTGGGCTCCAGAATTTGAGATGGCTCCAACACAATCTTCCCAATGTGTTCTGTGACAAAATCTCTCTCACCTGAGCTGATAAGGGCATGTTCATAAAACACAGCCAGGCTCTGGGGAGAGATGCAATAAGCCCAGAGTTCCTGGGTTTGGACATTTCATCTCTCCATGGATCAGTGTCTCTATGAGAGACTTGGAACACAGCCCATCAAACGGCTGCAGCTCAGGATGAAATGTAGTCAGGCTGTAGAGGGAATCCAGGTCTCATCTACCAAATGAGGGCCTAACAGCATCCTGCGATAGAGGCAGGTTTGCCCAGGCACCAAAGCTACCTTTAGAGTGTAAAGTGTTTCCATTAGGCTGGCATACTCGGATGGATTCTCCTTCAAAAGATAATTGTATTCTTGCCAAGGATTCTTCACAGAGCTCTTCTTTTCTGCAGAACTGGTATCCTGAAAGCCAGAAAAACTACAAGGGCTGTAGGAGTCCGAGATATACTTCCCAGCAGTTGATAAAATCCTGAAATCAAGTACAGAAAAGTCACCAGCAAAATCCTCTGAAATCAGCACTGTGGCTCTCGTGCTGGTCCAAGGACCAACGCTACCTTTATGTTATTTCAAGGGAGGGAGTATTCATTAGTGGCAGACGCTAATTACAGTCAACTCTCATGTCTACTGTGTGACTCAAAACTGCAAAAATATTAAGATGAAAAAGAGAGGATTGTTCTCTCAGAACATCTAGCGCATACAGAACAAACCCAGCCTCCTGTGCACCGCAGGCCACTCTGTCCTATACAAAGCATGGGCACTCAAGTCAGACTAAAGCATTTCAACATACAAGAGGCTGAACAGTACACTGCTTACAAGCAACAAAAGATCTATGTGCTGCCTGTGCTTGACGCTCCTCAAGTTACAAGGAATTGATCAGTTAAGGCACACCTAGACTCATTTCGGCAAATGATTCATGCTCCATGTCACAAGGGGGGGTGAGAATCTTGCCAATTGGATCTGGTGGAAAATTCCTTCCTGACCCCAGTCTGGCAGTCCATTTGATGGCCAGCCAGGTATCCAAAAAAAGGGATTCTTGTGACTGTCTCAGGGCACACAACTGAGTGGAACGTCTGTGACCCATCTCTGACATTTCAAATGATAAGGAAGGGCAGTGGGGGGAAATCACAGTGGTTCTGCTTTCCCTCCATGGCCTATGCAACGAAAGTACCTTGGGGTTTGTTTTCTTTCAACTTGGTACCTATGTTGACAGGTCATGAATTAAGTTCAGCAATGCTCACCTGTTGGCCAGTTGCTGCTCAAAGTCTCCACACTGACGAAGGAGCTCACCGCAAGTAGTAATTATCCTGGGAAAGAACAAGACAAAAACACATGTTGTCAGACTTGAGGCAGATAATGCCAGACCCCCCCCAGACAACCCATTTCAGACACGTGTCAAGTAATTATAAAATGCAGTAACAAAACCACAGCCCACGGGGACACATCTGTCAAGAGTTAATTTGGCTATTAACTCTGCATCCATTTGGTAACATACTGAATTTTTTTGCCCAACAGCCTCATCCACACACTACTTCTTGTCATCACGGCTAAAGCCAGCTCAGTGTCATTGGGAAAAATTCTAAGAGCTGCTGATATTTCAAGTGATATAATGTGCAGTCTTGCTCCAGACAGAGTGGGGAGCCTCACAGCACTTACTGTGCCAGCAGCAACCTGAAACCCAGTCACTAACACTAATGCTCCAGCAGCACTGCAGCTAAGTGGGCATAGCCCGGCATTCTGCACTAAGAACTTTGTATAAACTGACCCCTACTAATTCCCTTTCAACTTTGATACAAAAATCAGTTCCAAGTCAAGCAAAAAAAAAAAAAAAAAGAAAAAAAAAAATCCCCTTTACCGGACAGAGTTTTGGAATGCAGTCCAGTCTTCCTGGAAAAGGGAATCTGATAGGACATCATCCAGTTTACATTTCTTTCGTATGGACTGCAATGCGTTTGTAAAGTCAGACGTATACCTGTAACAAGAAATGGAGAAGAGATAAGCACCAGCATAAAAGGTTGGAAAGCAGTGTAACTGCATGTCTTGCAATTTGCTCATTCAGACCTCTACAAAGGCCAAATAAGAACCAGAAATATTAAAAGGAGTTCAGAAGAAACAGTGTTGTTCCATCCCAAACACATGGATGTGAAGGACTGATCAACCACAGCCCACTTAAGCCTGCACTAGAAGACAGGGAGAAACTCAGAGTAACACATCCTGTGTGGCTACTTCAATTTGCTACGTATGGGTTACTAGGAACTCTTCACTCCCATGAGAAGGTATGAATAGAATATTTTTGTTACCACTGATCACATCTCCTAGGAAAGACCAGAAAAAGTTTATGAGGCTACTGCTACTCCAACATCACTTGGCCCTTACTGCAGGAACACAGTGACAACAATCTCATGAATTTATTTTCTCAGCTACTCCCCAGATGAGAACATGGATAAAAATGAGAACATTTTGTTTTCTACACACCCCCCCCTTTTTTTTTTTTAAATAATGCCCATAAGCTGGAGGCATGCAGAGTGCTGTGTAACTGCCTATAAAGAAGGTGAGATCAGAGAAGTGTGCTTTCCTCTTCCCTCTTCCCCACAGGGCAGCAAGGTAACAGTTTGATTTATACCTTGTGAGCAGCTCTTTTGGTATCAGGAAAGAATAAGGAAGTAATCAGTACTGCAATACTATCTAAGTGAGCTGTCAGTGATGCTTTAAGAGAAGACCTCATAGTGAACCCCACTCACCCGAGTATCTCACACTTACAGGTAGATTCTGAATGAGAGGTCACTCGTCCCAGTAAGTATGTATTTCCCCACTGAAATCTACTTTCATCAGCCCAATTTGGTTTTGTCTTACTTTGTTTTGGGAAACATTTTCCCCTCCAAAAGTATTTATTAAAAATGAAAATTCAGCCCAACCAGAATAGAAAACAGCTGAGAAAAGTCTTTGATTTAGCCATAAAAAGCTTCCATTTTTCCCCTAAGTAACAGTCACTGCCTGTGAATGAAGGGGTAGGAGGGAATATCAGATGATTCATATTATGGTTATAGATACTTTCTGCTCTCAGCCATTTTTCATAAACAACAAAGTCCTTGGCCACAAACTGAATACTTGCTACTCCCTTAGGATAAATGCAGCAGTGTAACTAAAAGCACCTTACTTTGTGAACAGAGCTTTCAGGGCCTTAAGGAGTCCACACGCTCCCAGTCCATCAGTGAGTTTAATGCAATTGTCGATGGCTCCAGAAGCCAGAATGAAGAGTTTGTTGACTGAATGGTTCAGTTCCTGGACACAGTCAATTACTTCCCAATGCTCCTAAATAACAACAACAACAGACTTGAGCCTGGCTCTTCTTTCAGTGAGCGTCCAGGCATTAAAGAAAAGACACCTTGTGTAACACATCCTTCTCTCAGTACCCTCCAATCTTGCAAAACACTTAAGGGAGAGCAATGCTGGCTGCTCCCACGCTCCTGCACAGTGACTGTTAATAAAAGTCAGGCTGCCAAATCCTATGTTTACCAGATCTTCACGGAAAAACAGTTCTGCCAACAACACAATCTCCTACAAAAAGGACTTTCCTCCCCCACATCTGTTCTTAATAAATTCTATCGAACCTGAAGCAGGCTCTTGGTTGATATGAATATTTTGGTAAAGTCTTTCTCCAGCAGATCTACGCAGTGCCGGTTACTGCATGAAGAAGCATAAGAAAGGAGTTACCTCCGACCTGGTAGTACTGCTGAAATTAACTTCATTTCTTAAACCAAATTTACTTAGCAGTAAAAAATATATTGCAAACAGGAAACATGACCAAAAAATTAGAGGAGGAAAGAGAGCAATAACTCTGACAAAGAGCCTTGTATTTAGTAGAAGCTTCAAGCCTCTCCCTGTGTAGTTGAACAAAGATTGTTACATTACCAAGGGCACTGCACTGATCTGAATGAGGAGATTTTCTTCTTCCAGGTCTCCATACTCAAGTTGATAGGGCTTGTATGGGCCATACACCGCTTCCACCAGTTCCATCACTTTTACCAGGTTCTGCTCCTCTACAAACAATCAGATGTTTAGTCTACAAACAGATGAACATGCTACTAAAAGCCTTGTTTCAAGCAACATGCAGTAGTTCTTCAGTTAGAGCATGCTGCCTACACAGGCTTGAAATGTTGCCCAACAGCTTTAAGTCTCAAGTACATAGATTTTTTTTAATTTTTTTTTTTTTTTAAATACAAGGTTATTATCTCTACCTGCTTACTAAAACCAAGATGTTCTACCTTAACAAATACCTCCAGGAAATTATCACTCACTGCTCCAAAACAGCCTGGGTGACAAAAATCTATTAAATATTCCAACCTATAGTAGAAGGAAACCATGAGAGAAGTGAAACACATTACTCGCACAACTTAAAACAGTGGCACTCCTCATTTATCAGAAAGCTTGGTTCATACTTAAAATAACTGACACTAATTCAATTCACTTAGCACTACTACTTCATGGTGTTCATCAACCAGAGCTGAACATGAACCATGAACTTAGCATTTCAGTGCCATTCTGTTGAGCAGGGAGCTGCAAACCCAAAAAAACTCCCAGGTCTGAATGATTATTTCTCAAATCCGAAGGGGACACCAGCTGTTAGGATGAAGCTTTGCCAAACTCAAACTAGCAGCTAACCAAAATTACTTTGGATCCTGGATATAAGAAAAAACTTCTATGCCCTAAGGACAGACAAGCAATGGAGCAGGTTATCCCAAGTCTGTGCTATCTCCATGCTTGGATGTTTTCAAGATCAGACCGGACAATACCCTGAGTAACATGGTCTGACCTCATAGCAGACCTTGCTTGGAGCAGGAGGTTGGAGGAGATCACCTCCGGAGGTCCCTTCCAACTTGAATTATCCTATGAATCATAACTGAACCTTCCCCTCACATACACATACATAGGAACTGGTTTGACTCCGTTCTGCTGAGTCACCTGGCCTTCCCATTCTTGAGATATTTCTCTTCCCAAACATCTTCCTCCACAGCAAAAGGGATGGAAATACAGTTTTGAGGGTGTTTTTTTTTTTGTTGGTTGCTGTTTTTTTTCAGAGACACTCAGAAAACAGTTCAGTAGCTGTCTTCCTATTCCATCATCTTCCAGAACTTGACATCGTTTTTCCAAGCCCTTTTTAATCATTTCTATTACAAACCACAAATTAAGCTAAGCCGAGGATACAAAATGACTGACAAGAATATGCAATCACACAGACAACAAAATCAGACACGACGACAGTCACACTCCCTGAAATTGCCCAGTAATCATAATTTACATGATCAAGTAAGAATCTGGGTTTAAATAGCTCAAGACAATGTTATGAGGAACGAAACACAGGAAACACAGCATTAGGAATGCTCCATTGGCTTTAATTTAGGATTTTCCCATATCCAGTCTTTGAAGGGGCCCTACCAGATTAATAAAGGATTATAAATATCCAACAGTTCAAGCCAGGCATAAACCTATGTAAACACAGCACCTCGCTGCTTTGTGGTTTGCGGGAATTATTCATCAAGCCACGACCAAAACAAGATGACAAACATCACAGGGTAAGGAAAGCATAGGTTAGATTTTGAATCAAACACTGAGGATGCTCCTAGAGAATAAACTACCAACAGTTCAGAAATAATATTTGGCCCTGCATTTTCACCCGATTAAAACATAAGCCAGTAGAAACAGAAAAACTACAAAATAAAACTTAAGCATCCAATGGATGCAGCTTTCAAGCAGGTTTTCCCTTGTTTAGTAAGGTGTGACTTAATTCCAGGAAACTCCTCAACTTTTATGCTTTGTGATCTTCCACAATGGGTTTCACAGATAGCTTCTCTAAAGACATTTTCTCATCTGTTAGACAGAAGAAATACTAATGCTTGTAAAAGGAAAAGTGCTAAATATTATTTATCCTAGACAGCAAGCATGCTCGGAACAGATCTACTTCAGTAAACTCATTCAGTATTGTGTCAGTATCTTTAGCGCAAGATATACACATGTACACACAATGTATGCACATGTGCATATGCCACATAACGAGTCAATACTGTAGGAAAGATAATCCCTCCCTCCACGAAAAACTAAAGAAAATCCCACAATGGAACTTGACAAAGGAGATAACAGAACAGAATGACAATGTTTAGCTCAAGAGCCTTACTCAGGTTTGGCAGCATTGCTACTTCCAGCCCTTTGGCAAAGTGGATGGTGGCATCGTAGAGCTCCAGCAGCTTACTGAGCTTGGTTTCTTGGCCCGTTCTCTCCATGGCAGTGCTGACGCAGACAGGGATGGAAGGCACCAACGCTCCCAGAGTTTGAATCAACAATACAGTCACAATTTCATGGGGGTTCTTGAAAACCTGTGGTAGCAGAAAAGCTACTAGCAAAAGCACATTATCTCAGAGGAACAGAACAGGCAGCAGAGAACAGCAGACAGCTTTCAGAGGGAGACCCACAACCTACAAACCACATGTCACTGTCTCAGCAAAGACAATGACAGGCTGTCCCCGCTCCAAACTGAGCAGGGCCTGTCTGTCCAGGGGCCGATACCTTCTTCAGCCCCCCTGAACGAGTGCTGCAGCCTTCACACAAGCAGCACCACTTCCCACTCATGCCCACTGCAGTCTCCCTTATGCCCTTGCCACAGAGACCTGGGCTCCTAAAACAGAGGGACAGAAGAGGCAAAATAGATGGGTCTGCAAATGCAGAGAGGCAGGCTGCCTTAACCAGGGAGTAAAGAGTTGGGAGAGAGAGCAGCAGCAGCCCGACCTGGACTTTTTCACACCCAGCACAGAAAACTGTGCTGGGCATGTGCTTCTTTCTATTAAAGAATTAATATAAAATTACCTGTTGGTGAGAGACAGTGATACACAGATCAAGAAGATGACGTTTTGTGCACTAATAGATCATAGAGCCCTTGGATGACATGAGCTCCCAACCAAAAGAGAACAAAAACAAATCTGAAAAACCTCACAATGGGTAAAAAAAACAGAAGAGGTCGGCTAAGACTGCAAGAACCTTGCTGGCCTAGCACGCAGGACAGCCTGATTACAACAGTCTGGGTCAGTACACATTTACCATTGAAACTGTGCTTTGAATACCGTGACCAAGAAACTAGAAGATAGGTATAGGTCAAAAACTGAATTCAGAAGAACACAAGCACTACAGTAATTTGAAAAACTACCCAGCAGAAAAGAGTATTTGAAACCAGAGCACTCGGTTTACACAGGTGTGCTGGGAAAAAACACATCTGTTGGTAAAATATGAAGAAACAGTACTATATCAAGAGCCAAATTACTGGTCAGATAAGCAGAACTCTGTACTGGAAAGGCTAGAAAGACTGTAATCAGCTAAGATTTTTTATTTACCTGACCAGCCTCAACTCCACTAGCATAAAATATGTTACAGCCTTTTATTGTGACTTTTTTGTCAGCTGTTCTCACTCATTTGCTTTGAAAGCTGGGATCACCATGGAGAAGGTTCAAGAATTCTTCAGAAAGCAGAAGCAACACAGGAGATTGAGTGACATGAGCTTTGCCCCATGTGCCATTTCTCTGTCACAATCCCCAGTTCAAAGAATATCTGCTAAAATGTAAGCTGACATCTGACCTGTAATTCACATCGAATCATCAGGCAGAAAAAATACATTTCAAGAAAATACTGAGCTCCTTTGCAGTACAGGCTTAGCACTTGCACCATGCTTCATAACATGAAGATAAGAATCTCTTACCCTTCATGGATGAAAAACTCTTAGAGGCTCAACAATACGAACTTATTTCTTCATTTCACTAAAGGACAATAACTTTTTTGGATCCTACATTATTTTTGGCAGGAAAAACAAGTACACAGACTCCAAGGGGTAACAGCAGAAGTCCTCACGTCTTACACAGAGTGACATGAATCAGTCCAATATGACCTTGAAGGCTTCCTCCAGGCCAAGCGATAAAGCAATTCAGGCATTTCAAATGTCTTGCAACAGAACACATTTGCAACACCAATAAATTAGATTTTACTTAAGATACAGATGAAAGTGATAGAGCAGCTTTACTGTCAATAACACAGCAACCTTGCTGCTGGTAGAACACCAGAAATCAAATCTTGCCTGCAAGAGCTGGACAAGAAACAGAAAGTAGGTTGCAAGCCCTGTCTTGCATGGATAAGGTACAGAGCATAACTCAAAGACTGAGCATCAATGAACTATTTTCAGCTTTATGAGAATTAAGAGACTGTGCTTGATCTCGTCCTCTCCCATACACTGTACCAGTACTAAACAGTTACTGCACCTGTGTTGCCCACTGCAGCTGTGAGTGCCAGGTCCCAAGGAGCGTGTCATACAGTTCAGTCAACTGCCGATTTAAGCTTAAGTCACTTTGGCAAAGATCCTGCCACGCTGCCACCAGCTGCACCTGCAGGGGTAGCAAGAACCATTCTAAGAGGAGAACTGACAGTCCACAGATCTAGCTTTTGTTATTTCAAACCAAGAACTTCCCATGCAAAGCACTTTTGCTAAAACACAATGCTCACCTTTGCTCCTCTCTCCAGATTTCAGCATAACATTTTGCTATAATTCAGCACAACAGAAGGAAAAGACTTTCAGCATGAAGCTAGAGGCTCCTTAGTTGATTCAAAGATTTAATTAACATTGGTATTTTACTCATAAAATGAGACTGTAACCGATACCCCCACATAATAGTTGAAATACTTGGCAAGCCCCAGCCTTGAACTTAATCCTCAAAAGTCACAGTCATGAGAGAAATTTGAGGATCAGGTTATGGCTACAGAACTGTCTGGAATTCCAACTTTTAATCTTACCTGAAAAGAGTTTACAGAAGTCAGCAGCTGGCAAGTTGCAGCAATAAAGTTATTGCTGACATAGCCACATCCAAGAAAAGCAAAGCAAAACTATAAGGCACAGAGAAATCAAGCAGAACACACATATCCTATGTCTGCTGCAGGAAGGAACAGAAAGCCCTGAAAGGAGAATTACTCTTCAAACCCGGGGAGTAACCAAAGCTGCTAAGAGCCAGAAAGAGAAGTCGGAGAATGGCACATGGAAGGGAACAGGTTCCACGCTCCTTCGACAGGAAAGGTGAAGTACCTGATGCAGCAGCTCCCCCTACAGTCCAAGCCAAGCAAGAATTCACATTTTTATCCCTCCATAGTAAAATATTATCAAAACACTTACCTTGTGACATTTATAATAATAAGCAAGAAGCTGGGGCATCCGATCAATTTCGGTGAAGACTTTAACAAACGTTTTTGCCTGATCTAAACAAAACAAAATAACAGGCAGTTAACAGTCAGTCTCAAGGCTGAGGTTGAGACATTAGTCTAACTGAGCAAGAGAATTCTTCTTTTAAGGGAGTATGTATAATGGCCTGTACAGAAAGATACCCATTCGCTTTTTGTTTGCTTATCTTCTCAAATAGGAGCAGAACTGCCCAAAACCCACTCTCAAACGAGAACAGGTAGCAGACATGAGGAATGAATTTAACTTCTTAACCAGCAAATGTATCTGGTATTAAAGACGGATAAACCCACAGCATTTCCTAGAAGGAAATAATTATTTTCCAGAGACAAGCCGCTATCTACAAAACTATAACTTACGTCTCAAAGTCCTCAGCTTTGCTTTCACCACTCTCCAAACTGATACCTACACTAGCTGCCTCAAGACTGACTATTGTCGCAGTTAGCTCTTACACAAAGCTTTGAAATCCAAGTTTCTCAACAGTCTGTTTTGTACTGTAAGCGGGATGACTATAGTTCTGTCCACAAAATACATCTGGGGTTAGAGAAATTAGTGACGAGACCTTGTTTTTCAAAATGACATAGAAGGCAGAGAAACTAGAACACTAAGTAACTTGAAGTGCTCTTCATCTGTGGAAGTCACCGAATACAGTCTCTCTGGGGATATGTTTACAGACTTGCATTACATTTATAGGAGTCGGACTTCAGGAAAAAACGTGACTTCACAGTAAACAGAGAAACTCTGTTCAATAGGAAAAAAAGCCCGCGTCTCCACATGCCCAAAACACATTTTGAAAGAGAACGCAAACAGTGCTTAAAGTGAATTATTCTGAACAGTATGCCCAAGCAAAGGACCTGCTGCCAGCAGCTTTCTTGCACCTGTATGTTTTCTTGGTGGAGAACTCACAAAGCATATCAATCTTCAATTTACTTTCATCCTAAGCAGAGAAAGTATTCCAAAACATCATCCTTTGTCTTGAATTTGTCTGTAAAGGGTAATGCACTGTCACAGCAGAAAAAAGGCATGGGACCTACTGTGAAGCTGATGAGCACAGCCCAAGAGAAAAGGAAGCTGTGCAAAGAAGAAAAGCCAGAAAAGGAACGAAAAAGGGAAGAGAGAGACCTATGCAAAGGATTAAGCACATTTATTAGAAGCACAGCACATAGAGCTTCTTCCCTCCTCCGCTTCCTCCAGCTGTCTGCAGTCATGCACTGCTGCATCTTGCCTTTATGTAGACAATACATCCTGAGTGCTGTGCAGCAAAAGGACCAGAGCCCCAGATCCTCACTAGGAGCTCAAGGTGCACATAGATGAGAGGCAAAAACCAGAACAAGTATTTTTCAGAAGTTCTGTGACAGTAGGAGAGGGAAGGAAGAGAACAAAGAACAGTCCAAAAGTCATATTTTCTAAAAGAGAGTTTATAAAACGGCTTTTACAAGGTAGCAAGAAGTCAGAACATTTCCAAACAAAGTTCCTTTCTAATTACAACACCAAGCTGTAGCAGAAATGCCCCACAGCACTATGATAACGCAAAACCAGAGGCCTTCTGCTTACTTGAGCAGCGCTTCCCACTTGGACAGCATCCATGGCATAACTGAACTATGACAGCAGGGCAGCTCCGCCTCAGTACATCTACATGGCCTATAGAACCAGCTCATTTTTTCCTTATTTCCCATAGCGGCCACAGGTACACCAAACTGTAAGAAAATTAAAGATGTACTGGATTGCAGGCAGCTGCAGAGCACATAACGTTTCACGGCATCTGGCTCCACCAGAACAAGCACACAACCCAGGGCCAGGAGCCTTCAGGACATAAACTTCCCCACCCAAACATTTTGCTTCTTAAAGGCAATAAACTCTGCACTGATAGTAAATGACATCAAGAGTTACTGACCTACAGACTGGGAGTTAAAAGCAGCAACAATCTGAGGGCTGGCCATGGCCTCTAGTCGGTTCTTCAGAGCCTCAAGATGCACACACTTCTCCGAGTAATCTGGCGTATCCACAAGCATAGCCAGGCTGCTCTGCATACTTGTTAGTTTGGCCGAAATCGCAGAGACATCCTGCGACCAGGGAAAGGCAATCCAGTTACCGAACACGACCTTAGAAAGCACTGATACCAGTTTCATAACGACATTTTCCAAACAGGTACATATTTTAGAGTCACTTCAAAAACCTACGCAGTTTCCCTGGAAAGCTGCAGGCACAGAGACCAAAAAGAATAATGCGGTATCTACCTGTGTTTTAAGAGTCTCTTCAATGTCTGCACTTAACGTGCTCCATTTGTCTGCTTCCTGAAGTGATTCGGCAGCCAACTGCATTCTAGATTTCACTCGGTCAATCTCTACCAGGACCTGAAGCAAAAGAAGCATTATGTTGCCCACTGAAACAAAAGATGACTGCCACAGATACTTAAATTATGGGAATTATCTTTGGCTTGGATTTTAAAAAAAAAAAAGAGGATGAAAATATCATGCTGTTACAAGGAGGAAGGAGTTGAGTGAAAGAGCTGGAGATGTTAAATCAACTTCCAAAATCAAACAACAAAAGGTTAATTTGAATTCTGGATTTGTACTTTTAGTATCCACTTTGCCTCAAAATGCTATGCACCCCAGCTAACAGCAGGCAAAAATCTGGGCTGGAATCAGTGTCCCCTTTCAGGTAACAGCGACTCTGTCAGAAGTGAAACACGATCAGCTGCTCCTCAGAAAATGCAGATTGCACTGGCCTGTGTCATGCCCACTTTTGTACTATTAATGCTAAAAGAAGTGGTTTTGTCTATCTTCAGTTCACAAGATTGTTTAATATGAACAACTCTGGAAACTTTAGAATTTCACAAGTTACAGACAAACACTACGACAAGAACCTACCTGCATTGACTGAGCTGTGTCTTCTTCAAATTTCTTTATATCTTCTTTAACAAGGACCATTTGCTCCTTCAGGAATGTTGCCTCCTGTTTCAAGACTTCCACTTCCCGGAGGACTCTGGGCATGTTCTGGAGAGCCTGGTGGCTTGTTTCTACAGAAACACCAAGCAGTACAGTGAGGAGGGCCTGAGAACCCTCGCAGGAAAAGAGGGAGTTTTTCAATAATCTTATACAATCTTCAATACTTGGAAAAAAAAACAAACAACAAAACAAAACACTAAACAACAAAGCTTCAGTTGTGTCCTTAAAGTTTAAATATGTATTTTATCACAGAATCATAGACTCGTGTAGGTTGGAAAAGACCTTTAAGATCACTGAGCCCAACCGCAAGCCTAGTGCTGCCAAGCCCTCCACCAAACCACGTCCCTGAGCACCACACCTACACGGCTTTCAAATCCCCCCGGGACGGTGACTCCACCGCTTCCCTGGGCAGCCTGGGCCAGTGCTCCACAACCCTTCGGGTGAAGAAATTCTTCCTAATACCCAATCTAGACCTCCTCTGGCAGGGGCAGCTGTTTCTCAGCCCTTAGAGCAGATCTGTCAGGACACAGAGCTTACAGGAGCACAGGAGCCAGTACCACAGCGGGAGGAAAGGCTAACTGAAGGAACGAAGCGCGCATCGAACCCACCCTGACACGTTTACAAGCCAACGAAGAGGCACACCCGCAGAGGGCCTGGCGATGGCCGGGATTACGCCTCAGCCGCAGGCCCAGGCCCAGGCCCAGGCCCAGGC